GGCTGAGTGGAAGTCTGTCAGAACAAGGATGTTTTGTGGGAACCCTAATGAGAAGTTTGCAAGGGGATGAGAGGGCTCCTTCTGGCATGGACTTGAGAAAGTCCCGTCAAATCTGGGAGCTTCGCAACATGTTCGCGACAAAAGCACATCAAAAAACAAGGTCATCCACAATCTTCTAGTAGCCCCCGTGTATCCCCAGGGACCTGAAGTTTCCCCATCTTGAGACTGAGAAACTCCCATCTATGTTTCCATTTCATTTTCCCTGTTCTTCTCCATTTGATTCTCCATTGTTCGGAAGTTCGGTATATTCCTACAGAATCCCTCTCTAATCCTATATAACCTCTATACTACCCCTCTTGAACCCCTCATATCTACTGAAATCCCCCCCTAAGCCTTGCTGAGCTCATGAGGCTGCACAGCACGGGGCGGCGGCGCCGCCTATCAAAACACCAGGGTAGGCTGCTAGCCGTAGCGTCCCCTACGGGTCCAAGGACCCAAATATTACCTAGGGCTTTAGGTCTCAAGTACCATTCAGATTATAATATTGGAGCCCTGAAGCCCCATTATTTTGAGTCCTTGTACATGTGCTCAAAAAAGCTGAACTTGAATCCAGAAGGTAGGAACCAGGACATTTTGGAAGTCGAGATTTCGGAATTTTGATATTGGCCTCAGTGTTTCGGCCACAGTGCTCCGGTGCTTAAGATTTGCGGCCTCAACATCACTTTATAAAGGTGCAGGCCGCCTCAACTCCGAATCCCCCTCTTTTAGGGGAAAAGTATAATGAATTAGAGGTTATATGATAGTACAATAGGGCTTATGTTAAAGTATATTGGGGGTTTCATTATAGTCCAACCTTAAACCCTGGACACCAAACAACTTTTTAATCGAAAGATTTTGGGGGGGAACGGGCCCTGAAAGCGCTGAGGTATTCCAGCCGCCCTGGCTCAAACATGTTGCACATAGGGCGAGCGCTGAAGATCCAGATAGCCTAAAGCCGCTTTGCATCTCAAAGTTGGCAAGTGAACAGTATGGTATGGATCCAGAGCCCCTGCAAAAACATATTCCTGTGTCACTGGCCACGAACTCAGTATTGATCCAAAACGGGCCCCTTTCCATCCCGCAGATCAAAAGCTTTGGGCGAATTGGAACAACCAATCGCACAATATTCTTGCATGCTTGGAGGCATGCTTGAATCTTGATGGAAAGGAAGAACCCCAGACCTCCGGAGAAATGCCAGCAAGATTCCCTAGAGCCCTAGAGTTACTGCCAGAGACAAGTGATGAAACCGCTCCGGCGCCCGCTACTTAGCAATGGCAGTGGCGCCATTGGCGCCAAGTTTTTTCATGGCAAGTTCTCGCAGCTCGCGCTCTCAATGTTGTCCTCCGCTTCGTGTGGTTGCACGCGCCCCACTGCAGACAGGCTGGTTTCCCGAACAGCTGGTGGGAGGTCAAAGCAGGCTTCAACGACGGATTGGGGGAGGTTGAAGGAGGTCTAGAAACAGCATATTTGAGGCTTGCATGTCACCTTCTTTTTAAGAGCAATGATAGCAATAGCAAAGGATGGCACCCTGTATGAGAGGAGACAATTTGACACAAAGCCGCCGGATATCTGAAAGCTGACAAGCTTTTTAGCCAGAAGAGGGCAGCCAAATCAGGGTACCTTTATTACCCCAACAAATGGGAACCAAATGGAAAAGCACATGGAGGGAAAATGACATGGAAACTGGGATTATATAGGGGTTTATATAAGGATTAGGGTTTAATTATTAGGGTTTAGGGACTATTTCGGGAAACTCTTGTTATAAACAGGTCTCGAGAAATCGTCGTCCATCCTGTCTTGCAACGGATGAAGCCGAGGTGAGGATCTTCGCGCTTCTGGTTCCTACGCGGACTGCCCGGAAGACTCCCTCAAATCTGAGCGATGGCGCGGGCCGGTATCTGCGACAGCATACGTGATCTCCTGACTCAGGAGAGGCATTCTCATAGGGGCTACCTTTAGGCACTGATGGGTTGAGTCAAAGATCGAAAACACCGGGTGCGAGGTACGGACGGTTAATCGTTGCCAGCTGGCCATGGTGATGATGATGGCTAGAGACTCCAAGATCACAACATTGGTTATTCCGAAAACATGATCTAGGTTTGGGCCCTAAGCCTTGACACAGCGTCACTACGTCTCAAAATGAGTGCGCCACTCCTCGTCTGGCTCCTTAACCGAAACTGAGGTCCTTACCATAAGGGTCATGGAAGGCACGCCTGCGCAATTTTGAGCCCGCTAGGTTAAAATCGAGCCCAACATGAACCCCTTGAAAGTAAATCCTTGGTAGACACCCTCGCGGCCCTAACCCAACATTATTCATCCCAAGACCCAGCTAACAAAATCCCTGAGTCCTTCGAAACTCTAGACTCTACACTCTGCAGCCGGAGGCGCCCTGAATCCTGAACACTGCAAGCTACTCCGGCATTCCTCTGAACTGGGCTTTTTGTCGAAAGACTTGCTCTTCTCGATTGTCAGGACGTTGACCCATGTCAGGCCTTCTGACAGCAAACATGCTTCACATAAACCCTTAAACTGGGCAAAAATAATGGCCCACAACACCCCTTAAACTTGTCTAACAAAAACCCGTTATTCTACATACTTCGGGGTCCAGTCAGGCTTTAGGGGATCCTAGGGTTTTAGGCGAGTTTGGCTTTACGATTTGGGGTTTGGCTGGTTTAGGGCTCTCCGAAGCGCACGGTTACGGATGCTTCCTACCGGGTGGGGATGTAAGAGTGGTTGTTCCCATCTTTCCGGAGTACGTACCAGAACTTTCAGGGAAGTTTTTGGCTGATAGAAACTAAAAAGGGGGGGGGGTGCAAACGTTCATGGAGGAGTTTCTACGCAGAATGCCTTCTGTGGAACGGCGCCGTTCCGTTTTCTGCATGTAAGGCGAGTTGAGAGCTCCATGGTTTGCAGCTTGAAGCTCTAAGTTTTGAGGTTTGGGAATCTCGCAATAATGGAAAAGGAAATGGAGACTACTCTAGCATATAGGGGTTGTATTGGGATAATTGAAAAAGGACATGGAAACTACTATACTAGGGGAATAGTAGCGGTTCTAGGCGTACACCATACAAGCATACCGCACAAGCGAATGAAGGCAGTCACCACAAGCAAGGCAAAGGAAGTGGTGGTAAGACGCACAGATACATGAATGATGTTGATTGTTCGTGAAGCTGACCACCCCAAAACCAATTGCACTAAAGTGAATCCGACCTTTTGATGTCGGATTGACTGTACTGGAGCGAGGGACCCAGACGCCGGAAACTGTGGTGCCTCTGGAACGTAGCCCTTGCCGCTGATGTAGGTCAATTCCTTCTCGAACAGTTTGCCTTGATGCTATTGCAAATTCTTCGCACACTTCAGTGTGCTGTAATTAGTCCGGCCTGTCTGATTCTCAGCTCAGCTGTTGGTTCCCTTCCCGGTCAACCACTCTGACGTTGTTGACCCTGTTTCTACAGCTTCACCACAACTTGAAACGCCAGTTGCCAACATTGCCGAAGCCCTGACATGCTAGTTGCAAGGCCGAGGGTCTGTTTCTGTCAAGAAACTGCGCAGATCGAGAGACGAAGCGCTGCTTCCTCAATATCGCGGTGCTCTTAGGGATCCTTTGGGTCATTCCCCCTTACAGTAACTGTTACCACAATGGGTTATAGGAGTTATAAGAACACCCTTAATAAGGCCCCTTTAAGGACAGTTACTGGGAGAGGGAATGACCCAAGGGATCCTATAGTACAGGAGTTTCCCAAAATTAGGGGATAATGGAAACAGAAATGGCAACTACCATTTAGGCATTATACAGGGTTTAGGGGTTTGGGTTTAGGAGCGAGGGTTTCCCAATATTAGGGGATAATGGAAAAGAACATGGAAACCACCATTCAGGGTTAAGGGTTTAGGGGTTTCCCAAAATTAGGGGTACCTTTCTGGGGTGCCCCCACACTAAGGACTGTAGCATTTTGGGGTTATGTAGGCAAACTACACTATGGGGAGATGTCGCGATTAAAAGTATATGGGAATTATGGTAGGTTCCATAAAAAATTGTACCCAATATGAATACCTGATCCTTACCATGGGCACCTCAAAAAGGGATCCCTAATTGTGGGAAACCCCATATTGGAATTATAGGGAGGACATGGGGGTCCCTATCATGTAGGCATGATGCGGAAACTCCGCTTCCCGGATTACTCTGGCTTCCTTACCCTTGCATGGACAGCCTGAACAGCATCGTGCCAGGAGCGTGGGAAGGTAACAAAACACGTATCGCACTGACACAAGAAAACCGAGAGAGCCGTGCAACGACTTGAGTGAAAATTGCGAGTTCTCGAATGGATGAGTCCCTGCTTGGGTGTTGCCATACCCTTAAGGATGGCAAATTCGGGAAACATAATTTTGAGGGACGCAGCTTTGGATTGGCCTCCACATTGCCGGTCTGTCTGTACAATCGTCTTGTGTTGCTACTCCATCTACCAAATTCATGCCTCGCATAACAAAATTGTCTGAGCGGGAAGGCGTCAGTTCTGAGTGGCGGAGGAAGGATAGGGTTCTTAGAACCCAGGGCGCACTCTGTGCGGTTCCTCCACGGAATTGTCCCCATCCACCCTCTTGATTTACAGGCAGACAACCATTCAACAACGACAGCCTCTCTGTAAAAGATTGTGCCGAACAATCTAGAACGATTGACAGAAAAGTTGACATGGCGGGGTGGAGGGCGAGCGAAAACGATGAGAAACAACTGTATTCAGCATATGATGTCGCAGCACAACTTCCAAAATGCCTTCTCTCACACTAGGCAATTTTACCCGGGCTCCACCCTGGTCACATGGAAAATATGGAAGATATGGGAACGGGTTGAAGAGCGGCGTCCAGTTAAGATACTGAGGCTGTGAAAAATCACCTAAAAAATACTTTGCGCATTCCCATATCCAATTTTCAAAAATACCGATAGTCTGGCGTGGTCGCTTCTGTTCTCACAGCCAGAAGGGTCTGCTGGAGGGGCTACTCGGCTCGCTGCCGTCCGAGTGGTAGGCAGTGGAAGTGGAACTCTCAGTAGCCACATCCACCTCTCTCTTCACTGGGATCAAGCTGGTGTCCATGATAAGTGGCAGTCCGATGTCAAGCCCATCGTGACTTCCCTGTTTCAGCAGCGGTCTGCGAAGGGAGTTCTTCAAGCACTCCTGGAGCATCTCTGCGACACTTCTCAACTCGGTGGCATGCGGCTCCAGGCCCGGGGGAGGCTCGACTAAGCTGGAAGACTCTACGCCCTCCAACCCTGGAGGTGGCTTGAAGGTCAAGGGCATGTCAGTCAAAGCTGCTGCCATGGACGACCTGAACATCTCATTGGGAGAGGCCATTGTCCGAGACCCAGCCAAAGAAGCCACTGAGTCAGCCTGACTGCTTTCTTCTTGGAGCTTCTTGGGCTCCACCCTTTTGCGCCCAAAGCTTCTGGTTTTTGGGAAGCGTCGAAGTTCCGACTTTCCGTGAGCGAAAGTGCACGCATCTCCGTTCTTGCAGATCCCCTTGCGCGCGAACTGGAAGCAGAGCTGTGTGGACACCAAGTCCGGCTGGTCCCTCAACTCCGACTCTGAATGGGCAAAACTGCAGTCAGCACCAAGATTACATCCGCTGCCCTTCCAATACTTGCACATTCTGGTGAACTTGAGGGCGTCTCGCGTGTCCTTCATCTGAGCCTGGGTCATGGTTAGTGTACCGCAGGATTAACTACTTGCGCAGACGCTGGTGAGCAAAGCACTGCAGCCATCATCATGGTTGACCATGCTGATTGAAATCAGCAGGTAGCCCCTGAACCTGGGGGTGTGAGCGTGGTTTGACTCCACAAAGGAATTGGGCTATTCAAACATCAAGGTGAAGGCTGTTGCTGTCTCTTCAGAGAGAGCTCTATCGCCTCTGTGTGTAAGCTCCAATCGGCTAAGAACCCTTTCCTCTACCAGCACTGCCGAAGACCAACGCAAGAAAAAACGCTCACACTGTGCGAGCCAGATGGTAGCTTCATGAATCACAAAGACGGCTCCCTCAAAGATTGCGAAATTACCTGGTCACTGATAGGGTCTCCTAGAAAAAGACTGGTTGCTCTAGTTGTGCGAGCCAATATGTAGCAATAACAGTGGCAGCAATCACCTATACAATAACATGAAAGCTACGCAGCAGACGAAGGTTTCACAAAACGGGGGTCCTTTGTTCAAGACGGGTCCATTGTTCACTATGAGACTCTTGTGGTTGTGGATTTTAGAAAATGGATCTGGGTAAGAAACGGGCCTGTGCGGCTTTCTCAAAGTGGGGGCAGATGGGGTCCTGGGGATGGGCTTAATAACTTGAAGAGATCTATAGATGGGGCGCCCCAGAGTGGACCCTCAAAAATGGACTGCCATGTTTGCAAAAAACTGAGAAACTCCCGCATGTCCGAAAGCGGCGGGCAAAAGGCTAGCGTAAAGACTGAGGACGGCTCAGCGCTTGCGAGGACACTGCGAAGGAGCTGTGAAGCTCTTTCCTTGGATTTCTTGAGAGTACCCAGAAAATAATCACGTTTAAGCCATTGGGTAGAAGCATTTCAGAAGTGCAGAATGTAGAATCTTTGTGAGCAACAAGCCCAGTTTCAGGATGCCCTGTTGGCGGGCCAATCTCATCTGTTCCTGCAAGCACTAGCTGTGAGGCAGGCAAAAGCAAGACCCACATCATGCGAGCATCTTGTTTTAAAGGTGGTGGTATTAGTAAAGTTTCCCGGGCCGGGAAAATCCCCAGCTTTGGGTTTCCATTTGAGTTTAGTAACGAACCTGTGACGTAGCCTATCCGTATATATTGGGCGTTCATACAGGGGCGGTCATAAGGAAATTCCCCTATCACAACTACGACAACCCATCTGAGAGAGCTCAGGTCTCCAGAGTCTTTTATGATGACACCCAATTCCCAAACCTCTGGTTTGAGATTGGTCCGCCCGGAACTCTAGAATTTACTACAACGAACCTATGTTATGCGGATCCACATTAATCCCTACATTTGTTTCGCTTCTTGCTTCCCATATGAGCTATAGTCTAAACTCTTAGCATCCCCCTTAGTA